CATTGAAATTCCAGAGGAAGTTAATAACTGGATTATGAAACAAGTTTTATCAGTATCCAATAGAAACGATAAAAGTATAATTTACATTTTGTACGTCGTAGCTGTTCTATACAACCGCCAGACCCATTACAGTTTCGTAAGTACCTGCACGATGCCACGATTTACCAACTGATAATAGCAACGAACTTCCTGATGACAAAATGAGAACTTCCTAACGCGCTCTACATAATATCTACTATAGGAAATTATAGGGAAAGGGGTAACAAGCGGAACCGGAGATACGACAGGGTGAAAACTTTCTATGGAACATAATGAAACCAGAAGAGGATAATTTTTGTTGAACGGAAATAAGCGTTTCTTATCGCTGGTCCATAGATTTTATACATTTATATTTAAATAGTAAAATGAGAATACTGAACAAGATTCCTTTAATTAAGTTACATTATATTTAATAAATGATAAAAGGAATTATCATAAATCTGCAGTAGCCAACGCGTTGAATGGGGAGAAATATTAAAAGAATCCAAGTTGAATAAACGGATTAGAGAGTGATAGTAGTTTTTCCTTCTTGCCCTTCGCCGAGAGCCTGCTCGGAGTTTCAATTTTGATGGAAAGACGAGAGAAAAAGTAGCCGAAAGTTGCTCGACAGGACTTTGGACAGTTTCAATTACATCGGGGCGCAGGGCGGACGTTCGTGTCTCGTTTTAGATTAAATACGGAAACTTTTGAACAGCCGGTCGCGGAAACGAACACGGTTAATTCCGGCCGACTACCGGATTAGAATGATCCTTTTCATTCCGGCTACATCGACGTCCGATTTCATTTGTTTGACGTACATGCGAAACTCAAATTTAAACCCGACCGAAACTGTACCGCGTTGGCCGACACGTATTTTCAGACAGAACACCCACCCGCGCAATATAATTTTCCAATTTATAAATTGAACGCGTCCATCGCGCGAACCGAGCAAATTGCATTTAGCTTGAATTACATAGCAACGAAATGAATAGATTTTAAAATGTTCCATTCACTCTTTCAGAACAACAGAATGCATTGTGTCCTCTGTTTTAATGTAAACGAGACGATATTTACTTTCTCGTAATAACCGGAGTTCTTTAATTTAGAACAAAGCGTGTTCGTTTCATAAGGAAGCAGTGGAGAAACTCTAGATTTTCGCAGTCGCGAACTGCAACACGTACGACACCATTATTCATCGGGCTGCGAGAACAGAAATTCTTGACACGAGTAATGAGTTGTGCGGTGGTCCGAAATGCGTTTGCAAATTTCCGCGAAAATATATCTTCGCATTGAACAAAGTTGCAATCCGAAATCCGGTCACTGTTTTCGCGCGTTAATCGCAGACGAGCGAACCGAAACGCATCAGATTCCAATAAATATTGCCTTTATGATAAAAATCAAATTGAATAAATGATGATACAAAAGCGAATTTTCATAACCCAGGCAAAATGAAACAGAAGATTTCCCAATCAATTTTAAAGGATATAAAACGTTTCGACGTGCAGACGAAAAATGTTTAACTAAGCTCTTGAGAATAGAAGAGCGTTTTCCTCGATGCAAAAAAAAAAGAGGATGAACGTTGTTGAGAGAACAAATAATTCTGATCGGAAAAGAAACTCGTTATTGCGATCGGAAGCTCTTGACAATGTATTAAAAGTGGAAATAAATAGTTCTGAACGCGGAATTACAACGAAATATTTAAGAGAGGATTCCTACTGTGCTTAGTAAAAATCTGAGTTGTACATCAGATCACACATGTAAATATATTATCTAAGGTTTTTGGGAAAACCGTAGCTTCGAACCCTACGTCTAAATATAACTTTCCATCCTTAGAACTATCTTAGTGAATAAATTGTTGCGAAAATGACTACTTAAAATTATATATTCCTTGGAGTAGCAAATAATGTGCCATGTAATTAGTTAACCAACAGCAAATAAATTTCATCACATGATACATTTACAAAAGAACTTAGACTGCGAATTTCTGTGCGAAATTAAACATTTATAGTATCAGTTTTAAAGACGTGTTGTAGATAAATTATAGTAATAGTCTGATCATTCAAATATTGACTCATGTATGCAACATTTGATATTCTGAATTGTTTTATATATTATACTTGGTACTTCATTATTTCTGCACATTCGAATTTCTTATAATTCCATAAAATTCGCAATCTATGAGAAATAAATTCCACGTGCATTTTCATACTGCTTTACATGCACAATATTAATTATTAATACTGTTCCATGCAATACGAAATATTTATCGAAATTACTCGCATTTTGTATGAACAATTAAGTATATGAAAAAAAATCATTTAGTAATTAAGTGCATCTCTATAATTGCAGTATTTTACTGTAGGAACTGAGTAATTTACATGTTTCTTATCAATGAGTCTATGTTTCTAATATGAATATTCCATGTTTAAATTGAAATTCAATGGTTTTCATTTACTGATCAAATATATCTTTATAACTGCAGTATTCTGGCAGTATAATTGCAGTACTGCTGTATGGTATCGAGTAATCGATTCGTTGCACGTTTCTTATCAAGGAGTATTCGTTTATAAACGATATAAATATGTAGAAAAGCATAGCATGCATGCAAAATCTGATAAGATCACTCACCGGCAGATGACCAACTCGAAAAAGGGGTTGAAATGAGATATCCCTGGACCAAGTTTTGGCGCGCGTAGCGGTCTCTCTCTTCGTCCTTCTCCCTCCCCTTGGCTTAAGTCAACGCTGACTGTGCCGAGCCATCGTGGCCCTCAGTCAGTGTGATCCATGCGGCCACACCGGGAGGATGCGTACCTGAAGGAATACAGTAGTTTGTGACACAATGCAAATGAAATGATCACAATCGAAATTTGCAAATAGACTCTGTGGCAAATGATTCAGTCTCTGTTCCACGTGAATTAATAAAACAAACCATTTCTCAAAGTGTATCGACTTCCAAATGACAATATGAATGAAACGATCACAATAGAAATTTGCAAATAAATTCTGTGGGATATGATTCAGTCTCTGTTCCACGTAAATTAATAAAAAAAATCAGTTCTTAAAGTGAACTGATTTCTGTACGATTCCTGTACTACGGACACCTTTTCCAAATGTGTACCTTGTGAAAATGTTCTAAGTGTACTTTGATTAAATCTCTTTATGTGCTGGACTTTAAATCGAAAGAGTTATTTGTACGATCCGGCATCCTGGTCCGATACTCATCTTAAAGCTGTCGAGTGATCTTAGCAAAACAAACACCGGAGGCAGAGAGGCTAAAAATGTAGAGATTATTATTGAAGCTATCCTGTCTTTTTGACTAAACATCGGACAATGAGAAACGGTTAAATTATTACTTATTTACAATAAAACATTTCTATATAAATCGCAATCTAAAGATCTCACGTCCAATAATGACTCGTTAATCGTGAAACACCTACCTTCAAAAGTTGATTTATTTATTAAAGATTACTTACCCACATCGATAATCGTTTTGATTTATTAATCCTCTGTCGTCTTGATTAACTGAACGAAACAACTGAACAAGTCACGAACTTCACGTGAAACGCGGGCTGAGAGTTGAAGTGATACTACGAACGATTGACTAACTATGTAAAGCAAAAGACGACTCGTCGACAAATACTTTCGGATAATTGATCAAACCTATGATCGCCGTCGACGAACTCGTAAAACAGTTACCTAGCACGACGTAAATAGATGAAAATCGAAACTGAACTACCGGCCATCCGACACGTGTGTCCCGCGACGATCGCGTTCGCTAACGAAGCCAAGAATTCGATTCCCCGAGCACAAAACCGTTGAACAACAACTCATCGATCACGCCGGACAATAAAACCGAGAGACTCTATCGACAATTTTACTGGCAACGTTTTATTCCCGTAATTCACAATAAAACACGTATGAACGCGCACCTCGAACAAATCACGACTTAAGGAACTGGCAACCACTTGACGTTGGCAGCGAAGGATACAGTTTCTGTCCCTCGGTGCGCCTCCAAACGTAATTTTCGATTAACTATCGATTATGCATTGGGGATCGGCGTTCAGACATCTCGCGGCGACTCGCGAATATGCACGAGTGGTGTTAACGTTGAAACGTTGGTGAGAAAGTTTCGAGGAAAGTTTCGGTGCGGACGAATAATTGTGCGACGAAAGAAGAGAGAAACGAAGGAGGCGAGAGTCTCGAAAGAAGTTCCCTGAAAAATGTAAGTAAACTTTCTATCGAATGTTTTAGACCGGGGAAACTTAAGAAACTCGACCGTTCTTTCAATATTTTAAAGTGCGCTCTCTTAAGTCTTCCTGTACGCGGGATATTGCTTCTAAGAAAGAATTTTTGTTTTTACTTCAGCAGCAAAACATTTCACAATTCTCGTCTCTGTAACATTTTCGAGTAATGAATGTATTTCGAAAATGTTTCGATCTAAGCTTCACGTTTAAGTAGTGCAAAGTATATTTGGTCGGACAGTGTTAAATGGCGGACGTACACTACTGAAAAATTTGTTCGACGATACAGATTCAATTGCGAGCGCTCGTAAATGATTCAATTAACTTTTCTTTATTATGAAAAACCGAGCGTTCGATAAATATCGCCGTCGAACGAAAAACGTGTTTTATGTCGCAATCAAAATTCAGTGTGCGCGGACTGAAATGTTCTTCTATTCACCGTCCCATAATGGCCCAGATCGTGTCCTAACGAAGTGCAACGCCGCGAAAACAAATCTCTGTTACCTACCCTTTTATAACCCAATCTGACCCGGAACTACAAGCAATTTATACCATCCCGTCATTTATTCCTTTTTTGTGCTCTCGTTAAGTATCGATGGGAATGCATAATAGTAACCTCGGTGACTCCGCTGGTTTACTAAAATCTTATTCCAGCTGGCGCTATCAGCATTTCGTTATTAATTCCCTTATAGAGAACGTATCCTATTAAAAATTTCATTAAAACGCAAATATGTTCCCTCTGATGAACAAAGGGGTTCCAGTTATAACGATCGAACTGTAAATATCTTTTTAATCGAATCTCTGACCCTTTTAAGTTCGTTTACTTCGAGAGGTAAAAGTTTGGAATTATATTTCCTCTGTATCCGCGTCGGAATATTGATGTTATACGATCGTGCACGCCACTTGCAGCATTTTTATGTTCACGCTCTCGTTCAAATGCGAACTGCTCTTGAGTTCAGGCGAAATAGCTGTTTATTCATTTCGACGAATGTGACGGTGCCACCAACCGTAAAACTATAGTGTTATCTGGCAAAGACTCTGGCGCCGTGGCTGATCGCAAAACACCGATCGAGGACAGACACTTTTGGCAGTTGAGTATAAAATTTGCCTGTTGAAACTGGCAAAACAATTTTTTATCACTAAATATATATGTTTTTTAGAAGACTTTTTCATCATCCGCTAAAGCGGAAGATAAGGGAAGCAGTAAACTCAAATATTTTTCCAACAATGCTACGGACTCGCTGACATTTAAAGCCCATGCATGTTTGTTAAGGAAATTATGTCGCAGGAAGCCACGCAATGGGAAAAGCTATGTAACCTGAATTTCGTTAGCTCGCACGTACTCCATAAAATTGCATTATGTCCTTCTCGCGTTGTATCCCAGTTTGCATATCCGGCCGATCTTTAAATACTTGTAAATCCCCGGCCGCGTGGAGAGGACGAGAGACAGTTATAACTTGTTTTCTCCCCTGAGCAATTCGCAGGGTAAAAAAATAAGTTTCCTTAAGTAGTAAAGTGCGAATCGTTCAAGGGGACAATGAAAGTAAACGTAACTACAGTTTAATGGGCCTCCACTCTCGAACTTCTCTTAATAAATAAACGCGTCGGACAATTTTGCCAAGTTGCATCGCGCGGCTTATTGTCAGACCTGTTCTCCATTCCGACAAGTCGCCGACGGAAGAACCGTAGATCGGCAGAATTCCAATTAATTTCCGAAGTATATCGTCGCGCTTCACCAACTTTTCGCGATTTACAGTGTAACAATTAACGACGTTCCGATGAATCCGAGACTGCATTTGCATCGGAAGCGCGAATAATCTGCGAATTTGTTCAACTAATTATTAAATGGTAATTAGCTCGACTTTCCAGCATTTCATATTTATCAAATTGTTCTTTTTGCCGCTGATAAATCTCGGAACGAATTCCCTGCCGTCCGCGGACAAAGGAACAATTGCGTTGCGTTACGTTAGCGAGATGTACAAACGTTTAACTTGATAGCCGATGATTCAGAGCCGGTTCTTTTTCGAAATGAAAATTTAACCAACAGAGGAAGACGAAGGAAAAAACGAAGAAACACATTGCTTTGGACACAATTTATTCCAGTTATTTATTACTGTTTCATTTTCTCCTTGTTTCGAGAGGAAACAGCTAAACTGATAAACGTAAATCTCTTTCAAAGAGATTATACAGAAAAACTGAAGAAATTTATTAATATCGTGCATCAACGGAAGATCGGACGTCTCCATAGTACCGTTTAAATTTATTCTCTATCAAATTAATAGTCAGTATTAAACAGATGGCAACGTTATGTGCGAAACACTGTCATTGGCCTTAGCGATTTGCTTCGTGTGTGTCACGTCTCATTATCAAGTCGTATTATTTTCCACGCAGGACCGTTAACAAATTACATCCGTATCTCCTCTCCCATCGGTCGATCAATCAGCTGAATCCAAGCTTTGTCCCCTACATACAACACAAAGAAACGGCCGATGCACTTTGCCCGTGATATAATACAGGCCTACGTCGATCTAATATATTTTTTTCGATTATATTAAATCGCAAAAAGGAGAATTGTTGTTGTACTCAAGGCGAATGTTTAAACATTTTACCTAACATTATTCGGAACATAATTGTAAAATATACTGAATCTTCGAAATGAATTGAAACAATTTTGAATAAATAACACGGTAACTAGTAGAGAGCAATTCTATCGTCACTTGGAGCGCTCGTTCTCGTTCGTGATATTATAGAATTAATTAAAGTTGCAAGCCCCGGTTACGATTGCACAGATTCAGACTCTTATCGCGGCGGCGTCAAACAGAAAAGTAATAACGCGACGTAACGAGATGCATCCCCGAGAAATCGGTTGTTGTTAACGCGCAACTCCCGCGGGTCTATCGTCTCGAAACAAACCGACGAACGTTCCTACGGAATCTCGTTTGTGTCGTCGCGGTTATTACGAAGGTAATTAAACAAGACGCCGAGACGTTCGCGGCGTTTATGGGCGTGCCAGTTCGGAACGTTTCTTAATTAGAAATCTGCGGGGACATTTAAGAAGATCTCGCCAAGGTGTCACTCCATATAATTGTAAGTTCTAGCCTGTTAATACTGTAAAAACTTGGAATCGCGTTGACTGATGAGAATAGAAGGTCGCTTTAGGAATTCGTGGCTCACATTATTGTCGAGATGTTCTTTCCTCTCGGTGGATCATGTAACACTGTAAAATTCCGCGGACTTTATAAATAAATTGCTTTTCGGATAAATGTCTGGTTGATCGTCTGGTCGGTTTTAAATGTATGAAGCATCGCCAGTTTTTAGGGTTGCTTTCCCTGCGAGCCAGGACAATTTGTCGCCGTAGCAGACCGTAAATTCTTCCTACGTTTGTCCGTAGGTATATACGGAAATGAAAAATGGTGTGAATGTAGAGAGAATAGCTAAGAGAAAGGGACACACACGATGTACTCTTTCTACGTTATCGATAAGACGAGGGATGATCCTCTTAAAGTTGAAATCCTCGGTATTTCGTAGAACGATTCTTCTGGCTTTGAACAGGATCAAAGCCAATGATCTCTGATTGTATCTGTCCCTTTGCTCGGGAATATCATTTGGGAACTAGTAAACCATCGGTACTTTACTTCGTATTTCTCACTTGCATCTACCAAATGCAATTTTACGTTCTTGACGCGAAATCTAGATTTACGTTCCCCGTATTCCCTTCCGCCTCCGTTATTCCGGAATATTTGTAACGCCGCGTAATATATTTTATTGTACAGAGAAAATGTAAATTCTCGGCACTGTCTTCGGGTATCTGATTCCTTTTATATCAAATCACCGTTTGACAACTCCGTACGTCCAATGTATTATCGGTCCACTGCATACGGAAACTGATTCACAGAATTGCAATAGAATATTCAGATCGTCGTTATGAAAATCGACGTGATATAACAGAATACGATCAAGGTTTTAGCTTGAGAAATATCTCGATCTCTCTATTCAGTCTTTAGAACCGATCTGAAAATCCTATGAGAAGCTTTATCTCCTGATATGCATAGACCTCTCTTAGGAAGCGTGTTAGGATAAGGCGAGTCCTTCCGTTCTTCTAAGCTACCTTCTCTTCGATTATAAACTAAGCTCGTGGTACTGCAGTACTTCCACAGATATCCCTGTCCACGGGCATTTTCTATCATACCGTTGTTCTGTCAACCTCGTTTCTGGATATTGCAAAAAATAGCGTTTCCATTCGTGATAAGAAGTTCCGCGACGCCGAGCACATTCAAACTATCTAGTATGTGATATAACGAGCTCACGTAGTGCTACAAAACCTCGTATCGTAGATGGAAATGCCATTTTTTCGAGCATGCTGCACCCAGTGAGGACCTGACATAATCTTGAAATAGTATCTAGTATCTAATGGTCATACATATAAGTATTAGACCCAGTTTTCTAAAAACCAGTTACATTTTTTTATTTCTATCATCGTTATGCAAAATAAAATCATTCAAATAATTGAATCTACAAAATCTACTGATTCTGTTAAAAACCAGAGAATGAAACACGCGAGTCGATTCATATAAAAAAATGTTTCAATGAAACAATAGGAATTTCGTATTTTATTTCCTTGAATATTCATGTTCGATAAAAATTTTTCGGTTCGCTAGAAACTTCGCTATTTAATTGATCTCCCTTGGACCGTCGGATATATGCCGGAGCAAAAGTCCCGATTCCTGGTGGCATGTAAATTAATGATGACACGTCGATGTGCAGCGGCGATTTATTGATGACCGATATTAACGGTAGACGGGATCCCAAACAACTGTCGACGAGCCCATTCGTCGGTTTCATTAACGCAACACGTTGCTTTCTCACCGATACTTCGGCACCGCTGACTCCGTTAACAATTGATAGCGTGGAAATTTCGTGAAATGCTCATTTACATTGAAAATAATCGACGGTATTTAATATTAAGTCCCCTTCTGCATTT